CGCCAGAATATCTTGTAGCCCTCGTTCCTAATTCACTTTACGAGCACTTCCTTCTACTCTTTTCCCAGACCATTCAAAACACTTACTCCGTGCGGTCACCTGACGTAGACACCTCTCCCCCTTCCCGCCCCCTCGACCGCATTTGCTGTCACCGCCCCTGCGCAGGGTGGAACAGGTGGCTCGTCCGGCGTCCAGGCAATCAATGATGGGGGGAGGGGGCGGGGCTCGGCCGATCGGCTCCCGGCATCAATACACGTGCCGCCCCTGCCGCACGCTGCATGGACGGGTGCTGGGGGCCGTGTCGGGCGGCCGAGGAGTACAGCGTGGTTCAGAGCCCTGCGACCAGGACCCAGCGGGGTCCTGTACCGCCAGGCCCGGGGGTCGCCTGGGACCCGCGCTGAGAGAGCAGACTTGGTCAGCTTCACGTAAGTTGAACCGTAGGCAGGTGCCACCCGTCACCAGACCGCTTAAAGGGAGTGTCCCATCTTATCTATGCCTTTCACTTGTTAGATAAGACGCGTACGATTTGATCAGCGTTACCAGTTGTCTCGAAATCCTTCTGAAAAGCTCAGAAGTTCTGTTTGAAGTTGCCGCCCCTGCGTGACATATCCCACCTGGCTTCCTGCTCACCACTGCGAAAGTAATGCATTCCATTTGCCTTGCCTTTTCCAACCGTCGTTTTCTGTAATGTGTGCTGCAACACATTAATTTGTCAAAATGTTTGTATAATAAATGCTTCCAAGGCTTGAAACATAGTTAAGACAAAACGAGATGTGAACTTGAAACTATTGTTTCGCGAATTCTCCGAAACGTTATACTATGGCTTTTATTTCTTCCATATGGCGTTTATCACGGCAGCTCTTTTCCAGGCACACTTTGCCTTAGGGAATGGGAGCACCGCATGGTCCATGTGATGCACTAGTTCACACTTCAGCCAATGCACTTCTCGACAACACGCCCTTGCCGCCCGCTGGGTCAAACACAAATGTGTTTTTTTTTTCTCACTCGTACCAGCAGAGGTGCGCACTGTGGTTGGCTTGACGGCGGTGGGCACGGCTGCTGGCAAGAAGCGTACTTCTGTTACATCGCGTTAATACCGTACTTTGACCTCGAAAATAATTAGGATTGATATTCTTAGTATGTCTTGACGGTGCTGCAATGGCACTACAAAAGTTTTTATTAGAAATAACTGGTCGTAAGGTTTCACCAGAGTATGTTTTTGAAAGTGTCCCAGAGGTGAGACACTGCCTTTGGCAGCTGGTGTGATCCTTTGGCAGCTGGTGCGATGCTCAGACTCAGTATGTTCAGACGTGCAGCGCCCTGGCTTGCTCTCACAGCTGCAACGTAACAACGTGACTCAGTCCCAGGCCAAGGCGAAACTAAACTGTCGCCGCAGGCACGGCTGCGGGGTGTGGGGGGGGGGGGGGGCAGGCAACTCTGCCGAATTACAGATCTTTCAGAGGGGATGTCACTTGGTCCTTGCCTCGGAGCAGCTTGGCACAACCACCGGGACACGTGCCGCGACTGCGCATGTGAGCGCCAGCCCGTGTCGCACAAGAATGCGTCGTGTCGGCAGTTGTGCGGTGGAGTTGCACATGGCGTATGCCAGGCCAAGCAGCATCCCTCGTCGCTGACAGATTAGGCATACAATTGCACAACACCGGGCGGCTGATGAAGTGACACAATTTTCTACCGAGTTTGGGGTGGAAAAGCCAGCAGTTTTGTTCCGTAGAACTGGACAACTAGTATGTGACGCAGACTGGCCGCATTTCTAGGCCATGCGTCGCAGGAGACCGGACTGACAGACTGGACCGGACCGCGGCGGCGCAATCAAGCCGCGCCTCCTGCAGAAATGGATGCTTCGGACCAAGAAAAAACGTGCGTTCGGTTGGAAGTAAAGGGCGCGTTCGGCGAAGAGCAGATGTTGTTCACGACAAGGAGCAGAGGGAGTGTTCGACTGATGGCAGGTGGCATGACTGAAGAAAGTAGAGTGCGTTTAGCGGAGAGCGTTGGGGCCGTGCGGAAGACAGCGTGACGCAGACAGATTAGAGGCATGCCATTAAGTTTGGATGGTGCGAAGCGAATCCTGGGATGGATTGGTCATAACGGTAATGAAATTCAGTGACACAGGATGAGGTATGGCGTGGTTTGTTTGTTTTTCGCATACCACAGTCGGCTCTGAAATAGTACTGCACTTTTAAGCTTCAAATTTGTGTTTGTTGTGGTTGTGGTGGAATAATGGAAGATTTACGCAGCACCAATTCGGACATCCTCCAGATAGCATGCAACCCACATCATCGAATCGTATCGTGTCCAAAGCTTTACGGTGAAAGTAAACTGCACTGCACTTGGCACGGTACGTGACAACTTTCTTTTCCGAGCAGCTGCCGGATTCAACGAGAAAGCACAAAAACACTGCGCAAGGCCAGTTTGTGACCCACCACGAGCACCACTGGGCACCGCTGCTCCGGCGAATCGGAAGATCAAGCTGACAAGTACGCGCACCGCTGCGCCGCATTCGCCTCCGGGATAGTGGCCGCCGCGGGGTGCCCTGTCGCTTCTCCCCCCCCCCCCCCCCCCAGAACCCGCAGTCCGCAATCTCCTCCGGCGAGACGCGACGAGAGTGGCGCAAGAGCCGGGACGGTCGAGGGCGACGGTCAGACTGGGTCACCGGCCGGGGCGGCGGGCAGACTGGGTCACCGACCGGGGCAGCGGAAAGACTGGGTCACCAGCCGGGGCAGCGGACAGACTGGGCCATCGGCCGGGGCAGCTGGCAGACTGGGTCACCGACCGGGGCAGCGGACAGACCGGGTCACCGGCCTGGACGGCGGGCAGACTGGGTCACCGGCCGGGGCAGCGGGCAGACTGGGTCGCTGGCGTCAACAGCGGACTGGTAACCTAAACAAGGGCCATCACCGGACCTAGTGAGTGGGGTGGGCGGCCGCTTAGGAACGTGCGGCATAATGCCTGGCATTCAAATTAGATTTCGCCCGTTATCCATCGTCGCGTCAACGGCACGCCACAAGACGTGACGCACTTACAGCAAAGCAGTGAACCTCAAGTGTCGCTAATTCCGTCGTCATTTTAAAGATGCAGGAGACCTTTTAAGGGTGTAAATACAATTAAACAAATGAATGTCAGGTCAAATTTGAGGCGTTTCCTAATGCCATGCCGATCAGCGGCCGACTTCATCGAGTTGGAAGAGCGGGAAGGCGGCACGCGCAGCCAGCATCATCGCAGTATGTGTGCTGATCAGCATAATCATAAAAACAACGATAAATAGGCGAGAATATTAGAAAAATGACTACACTAGACGGTCGCAGGAGGCGGAGGGAGTGGGTCAGGACCGCTCTCCGAGACCGAGAGACCGCTCAGGTGACTGAACCCGGCTCGCCACGCCCGCGGACCTCGGCCTGCTGCGCCCGCGGACCTCGGCCTGCTGCGCCCGCGAGCCTCGGCCTGCCGCGCCCGCGGACCTCGGCCTGGCGCGCTCGCGGACCTCGGCTTGTCGCACCCGCGGACCTCTGCCTGTCGCACCCGCGAGCCTCGGCCTGCTGCGCCCGCGGACCTCGGCCTGCTGCGCCCGCGAGCCTCGGCCTGCCGCGCCCGCGGACCCCTCGGCTGGCGCGCTCGCGGACCCTGGCTTGTCGCCACCGCGGACCTCGGCCTGCCGCGCCCGCGAGCCTCGGCCTGCTGCGCCTGCGGACCTCGGCCGGAGCCTCCTGTTTTCCCGCGGAGCCCGGCCGGCTCCCCGCGGGGAGCAGCCGACCGAACGCGTCAGCAGCCTTAGGACAGGGATGCCTCCCCGCGCGGCCCGGCCGAGGTCAGGACATAAAGCGGCTCCTCGGCGATGCTCCGGCCGCGGAAATCTTTGCGGTCAGCGCAGCTATCGGAACCAGCGCAGCCACCGGGCACGAAGGTCGTGAGCTTTGGCGGCGCAAAAACGCGCAGTTCGCCGGATGCAAAAAGTGTGTCTGACAGCGGCGCAGCGAGGGAATAGCTCCCGTGACGTCATAAACAGAGTCTGCCGTGCCAGGCCATGGCGTGAACAGAGGGAGGGAGGGGCGCAGCGTGACGCCCGGGAGTCGGAGAGAGCAGCGACACTGGACGACAGGACAGGACATGTGGGCGTGAGGTGGGGGTGGACAGGAATGCATTGCGGCGCGGGCTCTGGGCGCGGCCAGGGCCTGGCAGCTCCCAATAGTGGATGAATAGATGTAAACGACATCAAAGTGAATCTGCCGCTTTCCGTCGTGCTGCCTCTTTGCTGGCTGGTTCGGTTTATTGGGCTGAAGCAGCAGTCGCTATTCCGTCCACGCGCTTTCAGCTGACGGCGAATGAAAGATTCGGCGCTGGCTGTCTCGAAAGAAACTGCAGTCAAGGCGTGAGCAACGAACCAATTGTGGGCAAAGTGATGAACTTTCTACGCGAGTGCCTACGGGACGCTCCTTCGAGCAAGCCCCGGCTCACTGCCACGCTGCGTGGCAGCCGGACAGATGCGGCCCTGACTGAGGAGTGGCACCAGGAGGAGGAGGGGACCAGGAGACGCGCGGGAGATCGCCATAGGACGGGTGCGACAGGAGACCAGGGCGGCCAGGGAGTGGCGGGGAAAGCATGGGAGCGAGCTGTCCGCGAGAGCGCAGCAGGTAGTGATGTAGGGCTCTCTCACGAGAGGAGGAGGAACAGGACGTCCCCTGCCGAGTGAGTTCGCGATCATACAGGAAAAGAGGGGAAGAGAAGCCAGAGCCAACACGCCTGACGATGTGGAGAAAAGAGCGAGGAGGTGGAGGGAAGATGAGTAGAGGGAGAAGATGGAGAGGATGGCAGTTCAGAACATGGAAACCAGGGACAGCTGGCGGACTGAGAGCGGCACCATACGCCAAGGGGGGCCGGTCTTGGCAAAAACGAGGTCCCGGACACCGGTCGGAGGACGGCCTCCTCCAACAGAGACCAGAGCATGGCGGGCGTCGCCGTCAGCGCCGCTCGACGTCGACACTTACCGTGGACAGCGCCAACCGGGAGGGGCCAGCCTGCTCGAAGTCCATGGAGACGGCCGGGTACAGCGAGGCTGCCGAGACGCCGTCCACGCTGGAGTCGCCGCCGCCGGCCGGCCAGCCGCCGCCCAGCTTCCCCAGCGCCGTGGCCAGCAGGCTCCGGTTTGGGTTCGGCCGCTCGGCGCGTTCGCGTTCAGCGCGCTCGCGCTCGCGCTCGGTGCGCTCAGCTACCTCGGCCGCCTCGGGCGGCGCGGGCGAGTCGGCGCGCGTCGGCGCGCGCGGCGCCGACGCCGGCGGCGCTGCCGAGTCGCGCGTGTCGTCTTCGGAGTCGGCGCCGTCGGCACCAGCCGGCGCCGCCGCCTCATCCTTCATGGCGTTGTCGGCCAGCCCCTTGATCTGCAGGCTCTCGGCCGTCTTGAGGAACTGCGCCAGGTCGTCCTGCTGCACGTTTATCTCGCCGCGGTACATAAACTGCAGCAGGCTCTCCATGTCACAGCTGCGGACGTCCTTCAGGAAGACGATCGGGTGCTTGCAGGGGTTCTTCATGAGCAGGTCCTGGAAGTAGGGGCTGCACGCGGACAGAATGACCTTGTGCGCCGAGAAACTCTGGCCTTCGCACGCCAGCGTCACGTCGATGAAGGCCTCCTGGTTTAGCAGGTAGTCCAGCACGGACACTACCGTCGGCTGGTGGTTGTTCCATTTGAGCAGGAATTGTGAGTTCTCCATGGCGGCGCTGTCGGCTGTGTGCTGTGGACCGGCCGGGAATCGCTCAAGGGCGCTGTGGCATCGCTCGGCTCTCCTGGAATCACAGACAACAGCTGCTGATTTCAGCATACTGCTCAAACCGGGCGGCAATCGCTAAGGGCGCTGTGGCATCGCTCGGCTCTCCTGGAATCACAGACAACAGCTGCTGATCTAAGCATACTGCTCAACAGACAACTGGCGATCTCAGCATTCTGCTGACGCAGACAACAACTGTATGGCTCTGCTATTGATGAAGGCTGATGAGCACCCACACGACACTGAGCCATCCTGTGTAGTGTAATTTGAGCACTGGTTTACACGATTGCCTTGATTCGGTTTAACAAATTGGTCGAGCATCGACAGGTTCTGCTACTAGTCAAGAATGGCGTGACAGGTGGTGAGAATACGTCACGTGTTTGCCCATATTTGATGACTGATTGATGATTACAAGTAGTTGAAATATCCGAGTCCAAGAAAGTTACGACGGCCTCGGAAGAGCGGTTGCGGTACAGTTTACGGGAGCACTGTTGAGGGGCATATTCCAGTACTCTGCGTCGTGAAAGGGGCAAAAACCCGACTGTCGCCGCCTTTCGGCTATGGAAATGAGGAGGGGAGACGGTCGGCTTCCCGTCCGCTCGCCTTGCCAGCTTGTTGCATAATGAGCTCATACTGGCATACTGGTCTCGCACTGCCTGAAAAACTGCGGACACCCCGCCCGGAAACGCCGCTGCAAACCGACGGCTTTTGACCAGGCAATTGTCGACGCACAGCCACGCATAACAAGTTATCCTGCTCGGCTCAGGTCCCGGCTGCCGCCCAGCAAATCCCTCGGTACAGGACGAATTCCGAATATGTGTCAGGGCCACCGCCGTGCCGGGGGAGCAATACGGGCCACCGGACGCCAGCTGTACGGCAAAACTCAACCGCCGGACGCATGTTCGACCGACCAAGAAACACTAGTCACCGAGAAGCGTTCTTTACATCGTTGGCCATTCAAAAGCGTATATTGACGCGGGCGATCCGTTATTAACATACTAGCATGCAAAATAACAGTTGATATTATTTTCAAGCACTTAAACTCACAGCTCCGACACCTGTGACGGCTATGACCAAAAATGCCAATGGCGAATTCAACTCAAATCTAACAGGCGAAGCACTCTGTACCAAAAATTTGGTTTTATTTTGAACGTCTTCAAGGCACAACCGTGTCGCCCTCACGCTTACCTCCGCCCCAACCGTGTCGCCCACGATACACTCACGCTTAACGCTCCAGCCCCAACCGTGTCGCCCTCACGCTTACCTCCGCCCCTTTCCTGCGCTGCCCTCGAATCATACAGCGCCGTCAGTGCGTACAGCTGAGCCTGGTGCTATGGCTTTTTTGGCTTTTCGCGTCGATCTAGGCGTATGATCGTAGTGCAACTGCTCCTTCGGGTTTTATCCAAAGAACAACATGAGCTCGAAATGGAGCTTGCAATACTTAGAACGACGTGCCTCAGAAATTGGAAATGGGACAACACGTACCTTCAAAAAATGCTAACGTCTCTAAAACCGCCAGCAACGCAAAACGCTCCCTGCGACAAACCAAAGCTCCGCAATCCAACTACCCCACTGACCCGCAACGAAACAGCGGCCCTCGCAACGTCGCACGGCCCCTAGAGAGCACTGACCCAACAAACTCCAACAGCTGTCATCCACCCCCCAAATGCTCCGAACGACGCCCCGTCCGCCGCCGTCCTCACCGGCCCCGACTGCCCTGACGCTCCCGGGCGGCGTCGTCGTCTCGCCGACGTACCTGAGCTGGGGCGCGCGCGCTCTCCGGTGCGCCCTGCCTCGGTCGGCGCTCGCCCGCACCTGCGCGGCGCCCCTGCCGCCGCCCGCCGCCCGCCGCCCGGTCGATAGGCTGGCAAGGGTGAAGGACCGGCCCGGCCGCTGCGGCCGCGGCGCCGGCAGGCCGATGGAGGGCGCCACGGGACGGTCGGGCGGCGACGGTCGCACAGGCGGCGCCGGGACGCTGTGGAGGGAGCAGTGGGTGGTGGGGGAGTACCAGTGCTTACCGGTTGGTATAGAGGGAGCACGGAATGATGTGGGGGCGGGGGGGGGGGGCAGATCAATGTTGTGAAGAGGGAGCACGGAGTGGTGTGGGGGGGGGGGAGCACGGGGTGATGTGGAGGGAGCACAGGGCAGTGTGGCGAAGCACAGGGAGGAGACACGGGTTGCTGGGGGGAGCACGGGGTAGTGGGGGGGGGGGGGGGTGGCACCGGGTCGTGTGGGAGAGGCGCGGGGATATGGGGAGTACGTGGTGGTGTGGAGGGAGCACAGGACAACGGGGGGGGGGAGGGGGGAGCACGGAAGAGGGAGCACGGATAATGCGGAGGAGCACGGGGTTGATATGGGGCAGCACGGGGGTGGTGTAGAGGAGTACGGGCATGGTGTGGCAATATCACGGGGATCGTGTGGAGGCAGGGTGGTTTGGCAACAGTTCGGAGGTGGTTTGGCGGCAGTTCGGAGGTGGTTTGGCGGCAGTTCGGGGTGGCTTAGCAGCAGTTCGGGATGGTTTGGCGACAGTTCGGGGTGGTTTGGCAGCAGTTTGGGACTGGTTTGGAGGCAGTTCAGGGGTGGTTTGGCAGCAGTTCGGGGGTGGTGTAGCAGCAGTTGGGGGTGGTTTGGCGGCAGTTAGGGAATGGTGTGGTGAGTGGTGCGATCTTCCCCTGACAATACTGCTGGAGATGATGAGTGTTCGCGGTGTACAAATGTGGTGCTGGGTGCGGCAATATGCCGCTGCTTCTATGCGCTCTGTAGAGGTATACGCCCCCACATATAATCTGCACCAAAGCAACCTGCACGCAGCCTATGTCAGTCCTGAGCAGGTGAAGACGTCGTGCGGAGAGACTGCAGGGATACTGTTACACTGACAACTGACACATCTATGTCGTTATTTATGTAGCCGAAGTGCTATAGCATAGCTTCAGTTGTATTCAAGCTATGAAAATGATAGGGGCGGAGCAACAGTGGAGGGAGGAGAAGGGGAAGATAATGTTTTTGCCATTCAAAATTTGGTTAGACCCTTTCGCCCAAACTAAAGGCCTTGTAGCTCCGCATAAGCAACCAAAATTAATATCGAGGAGGCCCACATACCTGAGTACTAAGTCAGACCCAGAATGTCATTTCCTGCATCAAGAAGCCGTGTGTTTTGGATTACGCGATTGTCTGTATGAGTTTGGTACCTCAAGCTCTAGATCACAAGGCCCAATTTTGTGTTCAGGAGCCCTTTTACCGATTTAAGAGGCCCCCCTCTTCTAAAAAATAAGGTTCGCGTCATGCATCAGATGGCCTCAGTTCGGGATCAGGACGCCCTGTTTCGGGTTCATAATATTCCTTACGGTATTTTAAGAGCCCTTGTGAATCGTGAGTGTCCTGCTCTGAATAAGAGGGCCCTTTTTGGAACAGCAGACCTTGTCCCTGGACCGTGAGGAGCTTTGATGGATCGAAAAGACTGCTGCAGTAGTCAGAAAACATCTATTCGTGACTTCTTTCATGGTCGACATTCGTTACATGCATGCCAACACATTTGACGATTTGATAGGGAGTCACATGAACCCGGCGCCCCCCGCCCCGTGAATATGACACTTCCTGCAGGCGCCCCTTTGAGGAGGCCCCGTTCCGTCCAGTAGGCCCACTGCAAAAATATGAAAACATATTTGCAAAAATATTCAATATTTTGAACCGGGCGGCACTAAAAACAACACGTTGAAACAAGGAATGCTGCATGAAGGAACGAGATATTGCTGATTATAGGTAAGTTCATTGGCAAAGGGCTGCTAGAGGCATCCTGGAAGCCAGTGGCGGACGAAGCATTTCCCAATTGAGCGCTTAACTTCTAATTGCGTACTGAAAACCGAGTCCAGGGTGTCACAGGACGCTCAATGTATTGCGTGTCATGAAACAATCTTGCATTTCTCGGTCATTTTTGTGTGTGCCTGACAAGTTTTTCCATGTCAGTGTTAAATGCGTGCATGCTAAGAAAGGACATAACTTCTGTGAGGGGGGGGGAGGTGGCACATGCCCCCGAGGCCTTCCATGTGCATGCGCCGATGATCCAAACCACTAAAACGACTCAATGAGCTGCCCAGTTGATCACACCCGACCCCGGAAGTCGTGCGGCCGCCTGTCACAAGAGATTGTCCGCCGCCTGTCTTCCGGCCGCCCGTCACGAGAGATTGGCTACGGCGTCAGCTTTGCTAACTGAACCCGAAGCAAGATGCCGGAGTGTGTCCCAACCGAATGTGGACCAGGTAGGGCGTCCCAACCACAGGCATGGAAAACCGTAGCATGTTTTGCTCGTGGGTGAATGAGCAACGCCAAGAAGACGTGGATGTTTTCCTGGATATAGTCCGGTTCTCGGACAGTGCTTACATGCACCAAGACGGTCAGGTCAACAGCTTAAACCACTAATACGGGGCAGGCGAGCCCTGACCTGGTTCTGCAGAGGCCGAGGCATGGCGCAAAAAAACCGCGGCTTGACCCGCCGTCAACTGTCCCGGAACCGTCGGACCCCTGGGGATGTGAGGCATAATCACGTTACCCCTTGCGAGGGCGTGAAATGTGAGCACGTCGCCCCTGTGAGTATGTGAGGTGTGAACATGTCACCCTTGTGTGAACGTGAAGGGCAAGCACGTTGCCACTGGCGAGGACGTGAGGTGTAAGCGCATTGCCCTTGTGAGGACGAGAGTGTAAGCAAGTTACTCCTGCGAGGACGTGAGGTCTAAGCAGTTACCCCTGTGAGGTTGAGAACGTAGACAAAAATCCCATCACCATTTTGTGAAGTGTGATGCCGTGAAATTCTGAGGCATTTCTAGCAATCTGCTCGTTGAGGCATACTTTTCTTCCCCACAGATCTACATGGTGAATACGGTTTGATCTCCTCCATTCTGCTCACATAGGAAACGCAGGAAACGGCAAAATGACCACTGCAGTAGACGCGCAACTGAAACCGGAGCACCAATGTAGGAAACGTAAAGGTTTTCAAATTTGCGCAAAAAGTTTGCGAACTTGTGCAAA